AGCAGAGTGGCTTAGACGGTGCCTGTTTGGTGTTCATTACAGCTGTATCTGAGCTGATTTGCAGGTTCCTGTCACTGATTGCAAGCAGAGCTCTGATGTTGGTGACTGTAAATCAGAGCACCCCCTGCCAATCCCATAAAGATGCAAGCAGGCAAGGATTCCCACCACAGTCCACCTACGGGTTTCCACACTCAAGAGTGAGAAACATGCCCATCCCATGGTGCAGTGCAGAAAAAAAAATCACGAGCTGAAATAATTGCAGCTGCTCTCAGTGCTCAAACTGCACCCAGACAGCACAGAGCACATGGAGAAGAGATGGAAAACAGGAATGAGATGCCTTTGTATCTACTATCAAATTACAACTGCTTCAGTATAAATTGGTCTTTCTGGCTTGCTCTCCTGAAGATACTGCTCAAGCACTCACCCAGGGCAGCTGCTGTGCAGTGTGCAATCATGAAGCCAGAGTTCAGACCTCCCTCAGTGACTAAAAATGCAGGCAGTTCACTGAGTGAGGGGTTGCAGAGCCTCTCAATTCTTCTTTCACTAATTGCAGCAAGTTCATGCACACCAATTGCCAAATAATCCAAAGCCTATAAAAGAAGATCTCATTAAACCAGATGACAGAAAAAAAAAACAAACAGAAACTAAAATGTAGGTTTTTTTCCCTTTGTCAAAATGCTTAATTACCTTTGCAGGATATTCACCATGGAAATTTCCTCCAGAAATGGTCTCTGCTCTTTCAGCAAACACCATCTTTAAGTAGAAGCTAAGGCACAAACAAGAGTGAAATACATTTTACATAACAGATATCTGTCAGTAAGCAGAATATCTTAACTGAAGGAATATTTGTGCTAATAGGCTTTTATTTGCAAGTACATTATATTACCTCTGCCTGCTCACTTTTCAGAAAATGAAGACCCTATCTCAATTCTCCAAATTGAGAGAAGACTGAGAGGAGTTCTTATTGATGTATACAAATATCTGAGGGGTGGGTGTCAAGAAGGAGGGGCCAGTCTCTTTTCAATTGTGCCCTGTGATAGCACGAGGGGCAACGGATGCAAAGTGGAACACAGAAAGTTTCACCTCAACATGAGGAAGAACTTCTTCACTGTGAGGGTTATGGAGCACTGGAACAGGCTGCCCAGAAAGGCTGTGGAGTCCCTCTGGAGACTTTCACAACCTGTCTGGATGCATTTCTTTGTGATCTGCCCTAGGTGGTCCTGCTCTGGCAGGGAGGTTGGACTTGATCTCCAGACACCCCTTCCAACTCCTAACATTCTATGATCTATGAACCTGTGAAACCTGTAGATACAGTTGTGATGCATATTTTTCCAAATAGATTGCATAAAATGAGGTCTTTGATCTGGGGTGGTGAGGGGTGCAAAGAAACATATACATTTGGATTCTAGCATAGTTCCTTGGTAGATTCTCCCTATTTAGATTTTAGACAGGTTACAAGCAGTAATACTTATCAGATATTGAGATAATGTACAGCATCATTACACTGCTGAGAGGAATTCAGCCTTGCTCAGTGCAAGAACTGTGCACAGGGTTTACCAGGCTGAGCCACCATGAGGTTCAACAGCCATTGGTCTGCCTTCCCTGAGTGCAAATCTTGCTCTGTAGTGCATGTTTCACTCTTGTTGCACCAGCAGAGTTATATATGACAAGTTACCATCTGCCTACATCCATTTGGTTTCCAAGTCCTGTCTATCTACATATTCAATATAAGTATATTGAATCTAATCTAGGAAACATTTAACATGCACTAAACCATATACATTTGTGGTTTCCTTGCCCCAGCACACAGGAAGAGAAGTTGCTGTTGCAACCAATGTTAGTTATTGACCAAAACCACTTATGGCTTTTTTGCCTTCTATATAAAAGAAAATTACAAAAAGGGCCAAACAGAATTTTACATAGAAATAGAGTTATCAAAAAGATACAGGATTGTCTGTGGCACTGTTGATTTCAGTTGTCATAATGTCCTTCACAAAAGCAATTGTATCATTTACAACTCCGTGGACCTAGAACAAAAGACATAAGCACCTGAGCTCAGTATCTATGCTTTATTCACCTTCAGGATGATGACTGAGCTTCAGGCACCCTCTTTCCATCATCCCAGTCTCTACCATCCACACATTAAGATGGCCTTGGACTTGCTTTTAAAATTAGGAGCATCACTGCCTATCCTAGACACCCAGAAGATTAGATTAATTATTATTATAGCAGTATTGCTGAAAGGGTAATTGGACTACATAATTTTTTACATGTTTGGGTTTGTTTACTCTAAATGGAAGATAATTATTCAGTGGCAGAAGTATTACTTGGGGAGAAGTGGCTTTACAAAGCTCCCACAGAAAAAAAACACCCTTTCATTAATTAAGCAATGCTATTCACTCCACTAACGTAATAGCTTTGCTCGTGTTAAACCCATGGGACTGGGTTCTTCTAGTAAGTTTGAGATACGACACTCTGGCTGCTTCTGGAAACACCTTTCCCCAATTCCACACTGTAGAAGAAATGCCCTTCAAAGCCTGCAAGCCCAGAAACCAGCTCCTTCTCCTGCTCCCAACACCTGAACACAGCTTTGTTAGACACTGCCACGGGTGCATGGATGGGGTCAATGAGTTACATGTTTTCATTAATACTAACCTTGAAGTGAGGGAGAATTAAAATAAAAGCATTTCCTCTCAAGGAGTCAGACAGTGCGTAATTGAAAGTATTTCTGAGGTGGGAACCTTGCCATCATTTACCTAGTGCTATGAAAGGAAATAAAAGCCAGTTTTCACCTGAGGGCAGCAGCGCATTGTGTACGCGTCCTGAACTCGGTCACAGAATCTATGGCTCTCTAGAAGGAACAAGGGAGGGAAAAAATCAAATACTCTTCAAACAAAACGGCTTCTGTTGAAGGACTCAGCTTGTCCTGGTAACCTCAGAGAGTGAAGGTTAAGATTGCTCACCTGCTATTTCTGATGGATGATGGTCAGAATCTAGGAGGGACCTGAATCGAAACGCCACTTCGACCTGCCCTCGATGTGGGCGCACTGCATGGATATCTACAGAACGAGGTAGACTGTTAGGTTTTGTCTCCCTTATCAACAGCTGTGAAGCAGAGAGGCAGGAAAGGCCCAGTACCCACCAGTGTCAAAGGCCCTTGTTGTTCCCTTCAAGACTTCAAGTGTAAGGGCAGCGATGATGTCAGCTTGTCGAGCTATAGCACCAGCTCTTTCAACTGCTTCGCATCCCAGTGAGGTGATCATTTGAGTCCCATTGATAAGAGCCAGACCCTTCAAAGAGAGAGCAGATGTTAAGCAAATTCATTGCAGCTATTCCACATGCTATGATAATTCTCCATCTCTGTGATAATTTTCCTTTGCATATGAATGAGCTGAAAACCTTTGCTCAGCTTTCTGGATCACCCTGAAATCATAAAACGCTCAGCTTGATTGGGCATCTTTGCTACATAAATTGTCAATGTTCATGACTTCATGAAGTCACTGTAGACACCCTTGGAGCTCTACTAGTTCCAAGCAAAAGATTTATTTAATACTATTTCAAGATTAAGCTAGAAAAGTACAGGAAATATTTATTCTTTTCCAGTCCTTTGGAAGGGGAATGCTACTTTTATTAATTTCTTTTAAGTTATTAGTTAAGCCAAAGAAGTTGTGAGCATGGGGAGTGCAAACTCAATCATAATGAGGAAGTGGAGAATTAAAACAGCACTGGAAGTTACAACTGCTTTAAAAGATTAGTTGGGTTCAATTGAAACTAACTTCAGGTTTGTTCTAAGCAAACATAAGATCCCTGGTAGGCTTCCATTTGCCTTTAGGAGATGCTGGGTTTGGCTTCTTGCTCCTGGTGGTGTTTTACAGCTATCTTATCAGCCCCTTCTCAGAGATCTCCGCAGCCGTCAAATCTTGCTTAGAGTGAGATTCATGTCACCCAGTTTTAACAATGCCTGTCTCTCTTCACCGACCACAGAAACAATCTAAGCATCAAGCTCAGGTCTGACTTGTCAAGTCCAGTAAGGTGACACTTTGAGAGGTGAATCCTTCTCCCAATAATGATTCATTAATATCCTTCTAGAGCTTGATTTTAAATGACCATTAATTTATTTCATGCTTAAATTGTAAGTATAAAGCAACTAGTGATTGCCTATGCTTGTTTTCCATCAGGTAGCATTATTATACTTTCTTACCTCTTTTGGTTTCAAGGTAATTGGTCTCAGACCATGGGCTTCCAGGACCTGTGATGTTTAATGACAAGGTAATTAATGAAAAACATTTTTTTCAGTAATTCAATCACTAAAGCTTCTAAAACTTATATATTTGCATAAATAAAAATATTAACAAATTCCTTAAGGGATGGGACAAGAATAGCTTTACATCACAAACATTTAATATTTTTTTTTTCTGCAGAGCTAAATAAAGGACACAATTTTTTTGGGCTTCCAAACTAGCATCTCAGTTCCCAGAGCCAGTAAAAGAAGGCAGTAGGAGCACTGAAGCAAGATACTGTCACAGACTATTAACACCTACCATGTATTAGCTCACGAGACATAGTAATAGGAGAGAAGTCTGAGAACATCTTGGGAAGGTAGTTCTGCCTTTACCCTGCCTCATAGCAGGTTAGGCTTGGCATAAACTATTCCTTTATAACTGATTCCCCAACTCTTTTCTATGGAAAATCTACAATGGAGCTGAAGATTTAGTAATAGCACTTTCATAGCTGGTATCATACCCTGTCCCTCTCTCCAAGTCCTAAACAATGTCACTGTGGTATCTTGTATTGCAATACTATGGCATGATATTTCTTTAGGACTTAATAACATGCTGAATATTCAGTTCTGCTCCAGTGACATGCAGGTCAGTTATTCCATTCTCATGTGTCCACCCTTCTCAAGGAAGAGGATGAATTGATAAAGGCAACCTAGTCCCAGTTCAATCTGGTACAGATAATCCAAAACCTTTTACATTATTATTCTGAGCCAAAGCTCTTTCTTGCAAGGCTACATACAATTTGGCAAATGAACCAGCAAGCAGAAAAGAAGTGATCAGCTGCATAAATCTTACGTATTTAGCATCAGCCCAGCCACTCTTTGGGGACCACATCTTTCCCTCTCCAATTAATCCCAGAGCAAGATGAGAGAGGGGGGCCAAGTCTCCGCTGGCTCCAACTGTCCCTTTCTCTGGGATATAAGGAAGGCAGGATGCTAGAAAGAAAACAAAAATGTCTCCTGTTGGAACTTTCCCCCTCAATACACTCCTTGGAAAACAGAGAAGCCAGCATAAGTATGGTCACAGTAACATCCTTCAAAATGGTCAAGGGCACCAACAGGACTTCTCTCATTACAGACTGGGATTTGCCCCTTGTCACAGGCTAGCTGCAGTTTATAAAGAAATCAGTTCCCTTCTGTTTTTAGTCTGCATTTAGGGTTGGAATGGGAGGACCACAGCCTGGGGTGGTTGCAACTACAGCCAGACAGCTAGAACATCACTCCCCTCAGCTCTCCATAGCAGGGTGACCACCCGATGTGGACAAACCTACCTCTTGAGCCTTTTTCCCCCACCCCACCCTAGTCCTCTGAGTACTGAACAAGTGGAAATGAAGAAATGGAACACAGGGAACTGCAGAAAAATCAGGGACCAACATATGCTGTTTTCTACATGGCAGTAGCTCCATCCCCAAATCCTGGCATCCCTAAAGATGTTGGCACACACATTAGCACGCACCCACTTGGACAAAAGTTAGAGACTTGAGCCCTTGTAGAAGAGCTCACTCAGAGTCAGAGTCATGTTCTTAGGCAAGCTTAGTCTAATTTCCTGACCTCTCAGAGGCTCATTTCCCAAACTTTTGACTGTTATATCCCTTTCTCTCAGCTTTTTCTGTCAGTTCTTCTCATACCCCAAGTTCTTCAACAGAAGAACTGACTCCAGTTGTGAGCTTCTACAGCCAAGTTCTAGTCCTGATCTCTCACAGCTACCAAGATGGAAGACAAACTTTTCTAAGCTTGACGCATTAAACTACACCCTTTAAAGAAACAGTTAAAAGAAAAAAAAAAAAAAAAAAGGGAAAGGAGGATTTTCTTTAAACATCTTTTACCATTAAATGCTTCAATAACTTGATGGAGCGTTTCTAGGGATATGCCACTGTATCCTTTTGCTAGGACATTGATTCTCAGTGCCAACAGCATGCGAGACCTCTCTGGGGTCAAAGGTTTCCCCACACCTGAAACAGTAACACTCTGGGTTACTAACTGTCTACCAACAGCAGCAAAGTGAAACACATCAAGCCATTTTTCATTACCTGCAGAATGTGAACGAACTAAGTTCACTTGAAGCTCCCTATGGAAAAAAAAAAAAAAAAAAAAAAAAAAAAAAAAAAGGTAATAACCCAAATAAGTGTCATCAGGTTTTATTTTGAACAAAACAGAGGGAAATACCCCTCTCATCTCACCCCAGAGGATAAGTGTACTGGTTGAACTGCTCCTTCTTCTTCCTTTCCTGAAGAGAAAGGGATGGAGAAAGCTGCACACACAACTTACCTCAGCTTGCTGTTTGGGATGACAGTCCTGGCAAACTTCCCAAACCCAGTGGTGATTCCATAAACAACTGCAAGAAACACACAATGCTGGCTAAGGAGGAAACTCAGTGAAGTTTTCTAAACAATTAACAGTTAAGAGATGAAAATATTTACCTGTCTGTTCCTTTACAATCCTTTCAATCACTTCTCGTGATTGATTGACTTTAGCTTCAGCTTCTGGTGTTAGCTAAAATGTGAAGAGTTTAAACATTAGTTTATCTGTCATTATTGCATTTTAGTTGTAGAAAGATAAGCATGTAATGTTTAGTTGCATTTGTTCAGAATCTTTACCTTAATCTTGTAGAGCCCCTTTCCTAAACTGACCAAGTCCTCCGTTGTTAAGCTGTTGCCATCTAAAGAAATATACTACACCAAAGAACCACCTTTTAGTTTGGGATACATATAGGTACCAAGTTACTTAATAAGCAGAATTTAAAAAAAACCACCACCAAACAAAACTCAGCAATGACAGGAAGCTCACTCACACTCATTCGTAAGGCAGGAACTCACTAACAAAATATAATAATATTATATTAGGATCCTAGGCCCAGCCAATCTCACAGCCCCTGCTCTCCCAATGCTGCAGAAGCACAACTCTCAGCACATTCTAGTGAACAGCAGGATTTTGTTACCCAGTTGTAAAATTATTGGTTACTCCTACCTGTTCTGGTTCTCGGTATTTGCTGTATCTGAAAGCTCTGTGAAGGAAAACAAAGGGCAAACAGGATTTCACAGGTACTGGCCATTCAATTACAGCTGGCAATGTGTTTTAAGAATGAAGGAACTCTAAAAGAATAGGGAAATATAGGAAATTGTAAATCTGGAATTATAAAAAATGTTCACAACATGCTCAAAAAAGGATACAAATGAACTCCTTCTGGCTGAGATGGTATGAAATCTGGAGACATTATATCCCCTTCTATAACTAGAAGAAATACACAAATAAAAACAAACAGGATTAAGTTGTATTCTACATATAAAGGAATTTGTTATTCCTTGCAATATACACCATTAAGAATTCTTATTTGCTGTTAGCAGCCCCAAATATATTTGTGTGCTTCTAGGAAAATAAAAGGGGACTATGTAGTTTATTTAAGGTACTCTGAAGGCCAAAGAGCTGCCCAACCCTTGGACATGTGCTCCATATCCCATACAATCATATAGCGCACGTGGTATCACATACCAATGATGTATATGGAATCCTCTAGCTTCCATTCCTTGTATAGTTCTATACTGAAAAACTAAGGGTGCATTTTGGTATTTTTCCGTGAAAATCTCAGACTCTCAGATGTGATTTTAGATCAACTAAACACTGGTTTGCTGACTCAGATGCCAGCACAGACACTGCCAACCACCGCCCACGGTTTTGCTTACCCACTTCAACAAACTCATTGTCCTCTAGAGCATCCTCCACCGTATCATCAAGATCCAGCAACCCAAGTCCCTTGCATCTTCGAATGAAAAATTTCACCTCTTCCACCGAGGCAAATCCCCCGTTGTCGGGTTTGTTCTTCATGTACCGCCTGACAGCTTCCTTCCCCAGCCACCGGATGGTGTTGGTGCTCTGCAGGCAAGGCACTGCCAGCCATTCCCCTCGGACGTGTACTGTGTATCTCGGCATGCTTTCTCCCCACTATTGTCCCTTGTCTGAGAGGGCTGCAGCCTGCAGCTTCCCTACATTAGCCAGGCAGCAGCCTGTAGAGCAGTGTCTAGCTGGAGTCCGGTGTTGCAATCAGATAGAGGAAAATCCACCCCCAAAATTCCCTCCTTTGCAAATAAGGGAGATCGATGGACCCAGCTGACTTCATCCAATCAAACCAAACCCAGGGAGCACACCCTTTTCATGGAAAAGCAAAAAACTACCCCTATTCCACAGGACTTTTTTTCCAAAGATCACCTCAGGAACACAAATGAAAATCTAGGAGCTGGAGTTGATGTAGATAAATAAGAAGATAAATAAATCAGGTTTTCTGTTCTAAAACTTAAGGGTTCTAAAAACTTAAGGGTTTAACAGAAGTTAACAGATCTGTCACCTGGCAGTAGGTCACACTAATGAAAACCTCTATGAGAGGCAGGACTGGAAGAGTCACCCTGTTACGGAGTAGTTGCTAGGACTGAAAAGAGACTGGTTCATACCCGTACATCTCAATCCAGAGCAGGCTGAGAGCAGGCAGTGCAGGCAGCAGACTTGCTTTGCTCAGTCCCATGCTGACATTAGATAACATAATTTTGTAGTGTAGGTGAGGAAAAGTTGTTACCCTTTCACTTCTGCTCTGGAAGGTGTTGCCCGAACAGGCAGCACAAATACCAGGCCACACCTGCCCATGGCCGAGGCTGGTGCTGCTACACCAATGCTTCTTACTGCAGGCAGATACAAAGAGAAGATGTGGAGAAATACCTGTTCAGATGGTGCCAAAATAAAGTTTAGCAATAACCATATTGACACAGCAGCTGAAAATACCTTTGCCTTTAAAGACAGAACAATAACAACATTCCACGCTGCCCCCAGGTGCTGGCAGACAAAGGGGCTACTATGAAGCGCGCTTCCCTGCGGTGAATTACTGCTGGGAATTTCAACTTGAGACCCAGGGGTGGGAGTCTGTGTGGAGACATTGGGCCAGGAGAGCAGGACAACACTAGCAAAACCTATGCCTGCTGCTACTTTTTTTTTCCCAGGTCTGACAGTTAAGAAATCAGGATTAGCTGGCAGCATTAACTCCAACTGCCGAATCACTATATATCTTATGGACTTCTATGACAAAATGTTACCCCTCAACTATCAACAAAAAACATTCCTGAACAAAGAACAGGAGCTTTCATTGTGAGCCAATAGCTTGAATCAGAACCTGCTAACACCAGATGCCCCCTCCTCCTACCACAGAGCCTTGCCCTGGAGAATCCCCATTCATTCTGTTGATGCTGTAGCAGAAGCCTAATTGGAGTTTGGAAGTTAAATAAAAGGAACTGTGAAAATATTTAATCTGAAATATAGAAATATTATTTTCAGGGAGTCTTCTAGCAGAAGGTATCACTTATTCAGGGGAGCAGCAAGAAATGAATGACTGAATAACCCAAGAAAGCCTGTAATATTTTATACACAAGGAATTTACATTATTTTGGTTTTTATTAAAAGCTGAGTGGCACAACATTGATAGAATTCAAACTGATTTTTTGAGCCTCAGTCACCTAAGAGTTAATTTTCCTGTATTTTCTATTTAAACTACTTAGCCAGATGTAGGTTGAAGTTGAATGGCAGAACTCAGGATGCCTTGAATCAATAAAATCCAGCAGGATATGTTCATGCCTTAATTTATATTCGAGCTGCCAGCAGAAAATGATGAATCTTCTGGTAAAGTGTGGAACTCCATCTACTTGAAAGCTGATACTGATCAAAATTCAGAGCAGAAATAAATGGATTGATAGGCTCTCTGCTCCCATGCTACGTGCCATTATTAAATCCAAATCTTTTGCCACGACTTATATTTGGTATCTTCCCCGTCTAAAACAGCAGGTTTTTTTTCCCCTTTGTTACATCTCCATTGGGGGTTACCTCTGTGTCAACAGATTTAATGAATGCTAACTGATTTCCTCCAAGAAAAGCAGCTCCTCTCAAGATCACTTAAAAAACTCACCTGTGGATGGCAGTAGTCACACCAGTTTCACCACAACCATCACCTTGAACTGAAGTGCTGCAGCAATTCCAGGAAACGCAGCCCTCCTATTGTTTTTTAAACTTATCTCGAAGTTGTTCTATTACTGTAAGTGGTAGTGCCCAAAGCTGGTTAAAAAAAATGAAACTATTAAAAAATTCACATGGGGGAAAGAAAGACTTGGGCTTTAAGTCACTCCAGCAGTAACAAGAAGTTTTGAAAATATATAGTGGGTTGAAATAATTTAAAGTTACTAAATGCATAGCACGTTTTAAATTCTGAAATTTGGTAAAAAACAACAACAACAAGGAAGTATTACAAACTATTAGCACACAGCATAGGATCCAAGAACTAAGTAAAACCATAATTTTGTGATTGACTTGAAGAACTGACAAATACGACTAGATGGAAATCGTGCTCTAACACAAGAACGCTGTGATCCATTTAGGTCTTGGTAGTCCTTTTGGACCCACAAAAAATTTCTCCCACAAAAAGAGTAAACAAAACAAAACTATTGTTTTAACATTTGTTGTACAGATCAATACACAGACAAGGATACAATGAAAAAGATTTATTTTTTTAGTCTTCAGATACTTGAAGCATCAGCTACACTGCTAAGAAAAAAAAAAGCTGTGCACAAAGAGCCATACCCTCCACCAATTCATTTTCCATGTTTCTAAATTCCATGACTCACAAATGACTCCATCTCAGAACAGCTTTTGTTTGTGTTCTAAAAATTGCTTGTGACAAAATCATTCTCCTCATTTCAGAGATTTAGCAATTGTGCCATTATACTCGTAGGTGCAAAACAGAAAGTACTGAACCTGATTTGAAAAGTTCATTTTAAGCTAATTTAGTACCAAAGCAGCAGATTATGGCATAATCAAGCACGCCTATCAGCGTTTTGTAGAATCTTCTGTCAGCAACAAGAGTACTTCAATGAAACCAGTAAATTTGTCACTGATCCACTTTCAAGTCTTTGCCCACAAGCATTGAAGTGACTGGATGCATAGAGGCTCTATGCTCGAGAAATGTCTTGACAGCCAGATCTCGACTCTTGTCAAAACTGTAAAGGTCTCTGTAAAACAAACAAACAAAAAAACACCATTACAAACATCTATGAAAATATTACAATGGGGATTTTCTCAAGGTTCTATTTCTCCTTTGAAAGCCTTACATTAAGGTGCATACTGAGAGACTAGCCTTTCTTCTATTAAAGAAAGTCAGCAAGTGGAAAGCGACCCTGAAGATAAACTTGCTCACAGTATACAGGAAATTCTGTATTTTATCACTTTGAAGTATAACATAAACACATGGAGATTGTCAAGTATTATACATTTCATTATGCTAAAAATGCCAACAGCATGAGCTCCTACCATTTAGAGATTACTTTTACCTGAACAAGGGTCGAGTAAACTTCATCCTGCCCTGATCTGTTGCCATTTTGAGAGCAAGAGGAATAGCTTCTTCCCACTTGGACTTGATGCAGAGACGCAGCCATCTGAAAAAGAAAAAAAAAATAATTACACTTCTATTTTTGTTTGCTGTGGCTAGTCATCTTACAAGTCTGTTCCCATCAACACTCTGGGCAGTGCTGTGTCATCATGGGAATGAGATTCTTGGTAAGCTCAACATCAAATATTTAGTGTCTGATTGGCACGTTACAAAAGTGGTCTTTTCTCTAAAATTGACTTTTTTTTTCAAAAGTCCCTCCAAAATAATATGATTGTTTTCTGTAGCTATGTATTTCTTCTATATTACAGTAATGTTCAATTGCATCTCTCAGAATTAGAGGTGGTAACATTTGACCAAGTGATTTAAAAAAACCCAAAACAACACAACACACCCCCCAAAACAAAATGTTACCAGCAACTGGCATGTGCTTATTTTGTTTTTAAAATAAAAATAAATCTTGTTACAAAAAATGGGAATTATACTGTATGTTTAAAATATTTACTTTTGTTAATAAGAAACCAAGAACTCTAAGCTAGTTAAGGCAGAATAACTGTCACTATTTCAAATATACCCAGGGGCCTGATAGCAGCACAATATGTAGTATTTTAAGGTGTTTGTGAAGTTTACTTATGTCCTCAAAAATACCTTTTTCTAACAAGGGGCGTGTAAACACAATATGTAAATACAAACCAGAAGAAATTAGGATGGCACTTAGAATCAAGCCATTTAGCTAGAAGCATTTCATACTTGGTTAGAAATGTCCTTTCATAATTACTTTTCTTTAGTGGGACAAAAGCTTTGTGATAGCAAGCATCAAGATGTGACAAAAAAGCTTCCAAGCTGCATTGAAAAAAAACACTGACACATCAGCAGAAAAACTGATCAGGTAAGTCCAGAAGACCTGCTCCTGACACAATTTTTGGAAAGATTTTTCAAGCATGTTTCAATCAGAGGTAATTGTATTACCGAATACCAACCACAAAATAAAAGTTATCAGGTCATCAGGTTCATTTGCTAGGATGACATGAAAGAAACAATAATAAATAAGCACAGCTGATCCACTGCTCACTTCTAGTTCTTCTATTTACCCAATTAATAATTAACAGAATACCACTCTGGCATGCTTGCACATGTACTTAGAAAAAAACCCACAGCAACAACAAATAAAGAAAACCCCCCAAACACCCTGCACCAAGTCTATACAACAGCATGTCTCGGAACCCTTACGAAGCAGGATAGTCTGTTTCATGAAAGCATTTAAGATTAGAAAAATGCCCATACTAGAACAAACCTGACTCTTATTTCAGAGTTGTATATAGCATTGAAGTCATATACTTCCTGCATTCGTTTGACATGTGACACTGGAAGAGGAGCCTGAAAAAGGAAATAATGGAGTTGGAACAAGCCAGAGGCACACTTCAAGCCATGCACTTCAAAAACAAACAGGTTCACTCAAAAATATTGATGCTACATAGGAATTAAAAGCCTGCTGTGACCAGTATTTATAATTGTTCCTTTCACCTTCTCATAGGAAAGGGGCAAGGAGTAAATGCTAGCAAATGCCCACATCCAGTACTACTGAAACACTACAAGTATTTTTGTTCTGTTTCAGTTATAGCTTATTTGCTGTAACATCAAAACCAGACAAATTCAAGCATCTTATAGCTTGTTTTTACCTTTAAATCCAAAATGCTCTGTATATATTGCTCACTAGCTGATGAGCCAGCCATAATTAGGGAGGCATGGTTGAAGGTTTTAGTAACTATGTACAGCGAGAGAGGACTATTTTAGCAATATTTAAAATGGATATTAAAAGCCAAAGCACACTTGGGCTTCTGTGCCTACTTCTTTGATACCAGAATCAAATTACCCCAGGTGCACATTTACCTCCAGAAGCAACAGTGCCAGGAACTCAATCAGCTGATGAGATGACATTTCCTTCAGGTCTGCTGAGCTGAACGAACCCAAATCACACTCTTTTGCCTATAAGAGAATGGTTACTTTAGTTTTCAATAGCTGTTTCAAAGCACAATCAGGTGTCAATTTTTGTCTGGACATCCGCATTTACTACTGAGCCATTCCACATAAAGATACTGATTTATCACAGAATTATAGAATGTTCCAGGCTGGAATGTTTCAGGCCATCTAGTCCAACCCTGCCCCCAGTAAGCAGGGACATCTTCAACTAGAGCAGGTTGCTCAGAGGCCTGTCCAGCCTGACCCTGAATGTTTCTGTCTGATGTTTGGTGTTTTTCAATTTTCACTTGCTTTCACTACACTGATATTTCTAACTTCACTGCCATTCTGTTACAGTTAAGTGAAAAATCAAAATACTTTCTTTTATGAAAATTAACACTAAGAAGACAGTTAAGGATAACATTAAAGTACAGTGAAAAGCTACAGAACTAACAAAAAGGTATGCTGAATTATTTGTATGACTTTTATGCTTAAAATTGTGGGAGAACTGCATGGTATTAGTTACTTTGGTATTAGTTACTTATTAAGAGTTATGTATTCCAGTTTTTCATGAGAAATGTACACTAGCTCCAGTAAAATGTAAGGGAACTACTGTTAATACAATATACTCTGTAATGTAGAGACACCTTGGCATTTGTTGTTAAACCAAGTCATAATATCTGGGTTTTAAAAAGAGTATTCTCAGTTTGGTTACTACATACCTACAACAAAAAGCTGGCTGTGTGCATGCCTTGTTACACTACGTACTGCACTTCATGTACAGAAGTCACAGCAAATCCACAGACTCGATGATGAAAGACTAGCCTATGAAATGCAAAATCCCTGGCAGCCATACTATCACCAGACATTGTCTCTCAGCAAATGATAGATTTCAGAAGAGAATGGCTCACTTTTAATACAGAAAACTAGCTTTTCAGGATACAGAGACCTCAGCGTTCTTTAACCACTTACTTTAATCCATCTTTGGCTCAAGGCAACACAAGCATTTGATAGGGTCATATCATACCTGTCAAATATTAAAAACAAAGGATCACACTTTGGAAACACAAAAAGCTCCGGTAATATTTTTACAAGAATGCTTAGGAATTATTTTCAAATGGCTCCACATTTGTTGTTCATTGCAGGCTTCAAATCAATACTGCAACACAATTTACAAAAGATCTATTTTCATTAAATATATTTCAGTTTTAGTTAGAAGCAATTTGTGCAGAGGCGACGCTATCACTTGATCCATACAATCCTAAAGCGATCAGTACTTCTGAGCGTATATGCTTGTACATGTATTATAGCTTATAGCTGAAAACAATATTGTTGTAATAACCTAACAGGTAAAACCAGAATCTTTCCTGGCAACCTTCAGAGCAAAACAAATTTCCATCAGAGTTAAAAACTGAAAATATTAACAGCAACATTTTTTCCTCCTATACACACATATCAATTTCTACATAGTACTAGGGTATTTTCCAATAAAACGTTTGTTGGAAGACTTTCACCTTGTTTACAAACTGCTTCATGGCTGTTTAGAAAATCATGCACAAATTTGGAGAAGGAAAAGATGAGCTATAAAATAATGCAGCTTACGTAGGCTTCACTGGTGGCATTCCTGGAGCATGAAACCATGAGTTCCAATCAACTTTATCCAGAACATCTACCTACAAAAGCAACACAAATTCAGATTCAATTTTAAATGTGATTTTTAGAGAAAAGTATAACCTATGAAAACTAGTTTATTTTTTTTAACATTCCTTCAATTAACCTGGAGAATCATATACAGATTACTTTAAAACAAAAGCCCCTCTAGGAAAAAAAAAAAAAAAAGCAATCTCATCTTTGTATAATGCCAGACTACATCATATTAAGATCTTGAGATAAAGAAGAGAAAGATAAAGAACTGGTCCTTAAAGAAAGCAATTCTTGAGCTATGCCATATTTTCAAGAAATTGAAAGGTTTCCATCAATCACTTTTAAATACTGCTCTACCTTATCCTTGAAGTAGGAGTACAAGAACTTCTTCCAGTCCTCAGTTCCTACGCTCTTATAAGCAAACTGCTGAATGTAAGCCTTCAAGAAGCCAATGAAGACATCTAACAATTAAAAAACAAACTGTTTCAGTGCTTGAAATGAAAACAGGAAACAATAATATATAAAGTCTGACTAACAGTTACCTGGTCCTCCAAGAAGTTGTTCAAGGTAAAAAAGCAAAGCAAAGCCTTTCTCATAAGGAACCAATGAATAGGCCTCATCAAGATCTACTTCACTCAGGTCAGGGACGAGGTTAGTTATAGGATTTTTATCTCCAAGAGTATTTATCTGTGACAAAGACACAAGAAAATATATTCATCTAGGAAAACTAGCTCTCTTGCAAGTCACTACTAAGCATATTTATAAAGGCATAATCCATCCAAAACTAAGATGGCCTCATTTCAAAGCATTCCTTCTCATTATTTTTCCTGAAATTCTGAACCTGCACAGAACATAGTTCATTAAGCTTCTTTTATTATTCTATCACTGTCTGATTTCATACCAAACAAAGATGTTATGATCAATCACCCTGTGCTCCAGCTGTCTCAAAGCACTTAATTACTGTCATGTCTGTTATAATAATGAGCACTTAATAAACTATCTAGATTTATACCTTTATTAGCAAACTATTTAAACCACCTGGTTTAAATGTGTGGTATAAATCATAAAATACAATGCAGAAATATTCATAGTGAACCAGGTAAACTGCATCACCAAACTGAATGAGAGGGCTGGAAACATCACAGGCTGGAAGTCTGAAATATGAAGTTTAACTATGCTACCTAAACACAAAACTAAATAACCCTCCCAGACAGCAACAGATTATGAATATGTTCAATTGTAATGTAGTACACAGGAAAAAAAGAAAGCAGTTACTTGCATGAGGCTCTGGAAATTATGAAGTTAATGCTTGCAGATTATTTTGACCATCTTTCAGCTGCTTATCAGTATACTAACAGATAACATTGCAATTTAGCCATGCCCAGAACAACCAAGAGAGTCTGTAAAGATGTTCATCCTTACCAAGCATCTTAAAACAGTTCAAAAACCCTCATCTAATCTGAGTGTGTTAGACTGATACCTTGGGAAGAGATTGCATACCTTGGAATCAAAGTTGTTCATCCTCTAATAAGAAAGCATAAGGAAAACTGCCTAGACAAGACTTATTTGTGGAAAACACACCAATCAGCTTTATTTTATTTAGATATATGCTTCAACATAAAGTTATCATAACTTCAATAATATTTACTGTATTTTGCAGTTCCCTCCAACCTCCTAGGGCATGAAAGTGCCTGAACTGCTCCCCAAACAATCGACCACCAATTCTGCGTTCCAGGTACACAGTATGTCCCTCATTCAGCCTGGAAATACATTGATAAAGTCAGGACTCAGAGGATGGCAAAGTGAATTAAATTAATTTAGTTGGCCTCTTTACAGAGTAATTTTAAAATATGATCTGCATGGCATTGACCATCACACCTACCAAAAATGCTCCCATGTTTTGTTTGTTACCAAGTTTCCTGTCCAGCTGTGAGAGATTTCATGAGCAATAACCTAAAACACAGAAAACAATGACAGATTTAGACTCCTCTGGAAAATTAACATCAAATCCCAACAGAAAGAAAAAAATCCTGATGGGATCTCATTTTTTGCACTACACTCCCAAAGTCAGTCAGCATTCACAGCTCTGTAACCTTATCCACATAAATTTTATTTAGAGGACTAACACTATACTACCAAACCTTCTCCAGGAATAATTTTGAATGTCCAGTCTGCAAGTCATGGATCTGCACTGATCAACAAAAACAATTCCTCTAGTAGCACTGTGCAGGTACTGGTTTATGAAATAATATTTCAGAATACTGGACTGATGTCAAGTATGGACTAGTACTACTTTCTCACCTGAGCAACTGCTGCAGTGCTGAGGTGTGCTAAAATATCAACCAGGAAGAAAACAGTGACCTCTAGAAGGATAATGATTTGTGATATATTAGAAAATATACATGTCAAATATTTCAGTATTCTTGGAAAGATGTAAGTGATAAAACAGCATCCAGAGTACTCAACTCTGCATAAAATGAAACAAATGTAGCCAAACCACACTCATGATTTCCACTTTAAAAGTGAGCTGTAACACTGTGAGTTGTAAGGCAGAGACATATATAAAGGAAGAAGGTCCTACAATTTCAATGGGATTGATTCAGTTGTGGTTTTTAAACATACCTATACAGAAGACAGGAAAAGAGCTACAGAGCAGCTAACTTCAGTCGGTCCCCTATGCACACAGGCATCCATGTTATTTGAATCTGTTTGTTACACAAACCAGACATCTCCAGTTTTCTGGGGTTACTTCCAACTAAAACTCACTTTATAAGACTTTCTGAGTTACTGTTTTAACTTTTAATTTTCCCAATGAAAAAAAGACCAAGTTTTCAGATATCTATTACAAAAGAAGTGAAGAAACAACTTCCAGTTGTGCTCTGCTTTGAGACATGACCCTATTTTGCACTTACGCTTGACAGAGATCGATCACCTGCCTAAAAAAAAAAAAGACAAGGCAGTTGTCAGTTCAAGTAAACCTCAAAATGCATCTCTTAATGTAGTTTTATGTATGATCCCTAACTACAAATGGGGTAGGAACATTTACAGCTCTTTCTAGGGAGAAGATTAATAAAATTTGTGGATTATTATCCATCACTTGATGGATTAGCAAGCTCTAAGGAAAAGCTGACTTTTATCACTCTTAGACTTACCAATAGTGTTGGAGTTACAAAAGTAAGACAAGGATTCTCCATCCCACCATAAGGAAAAGAAGGTGGTAAGACTAACAAATCATACTGTCCCCATACATAGGGTCCTGCTAAATCCTCTGCTGTTTTCAGCATAGCTTCAGTCTGAAACAAGAATTCACATTAGTTTCTACCATAACTTCTGCCTACAAACACTGAACGAGAAATACGCTATTGATCCCACATCTCATTCTCTTTCATCTTGTCATCTCCCACATGCAAAATGAGTACAAGACTGTACCAGTATTTCTGTTCTGTAGTACTGTGTTGTGATAAAAAAAAACAGCATTTTTTGGGTTAGGAGGTAGAGAAAGGAGGGCTACTGATGAACAAAACACTGAACTACAGTCTATTTCTTTTCCAAAATTATGCAAAACACTACTTAGTTTACAAACCTTTTTTTAATTACCCACCTCAGCAAATTCATAGGCTGATTTATCCACCAGCTCCTTTTCAGCCCACACCAGAGTCCTTGGGCCAATCTTTCTGTTGAAAGTAAAAATGCCACTAAGACACTGTGAACTCAAAATGCTTCTGAAGGAAACTAATTCAGAAAGCATCTGTTCAGGTGTGTTCATGAGTAACCCACGTTGTTGAAGAAACTCATTAAAGACTCTTCCTCTCTTATACCTCTCCACTGCTAAAGTAATACTACAAAAAAGCTTTAGAAAATAAACAAACCTCACACATTCACTGTTCAGCACAAAGAAATAGAAAACACATTTATGTATTTTAAAATGCTTTGAAGTCTTAATATGAAAGCATTATTATGGGCTAGATTAACGTATCCTTGTACCGATGAGCAGTGAGGCTGAAGCTACAATTTTCTGCCTTTTGTCCATGACAAGGCTTATCTGTTACTGAAGGAATAACACACTATACTCTGAGCTAGAAAAGCTTACTGTTTCAAAGAAATTCCAAACTCTTCATGGTATTTCTTCAACTTACAGCAAAAGTATATTCTACAGAAAACATGATGCAAGAGTGATTCAAGATACACACAGTTTGATACAAATAAACAGATTCACTGAATTATCTAAGACCTTTCAAAACTGGAAAGATGACCAAGGAACCAAAAAGAGGCAACTCTGAAGATTTATTATTATTAATATTTATACTTTGTGCAGATTCACTCACCTACTTTCTAAAGCTCCAACCACTAAAGCAACCAAGTAACAAGGTATGGGAACCTAATGGAGAACAGATGAAAAAAGAAATCTTATATGTAATGTGAGGTATCACAACAACTGATGTAGTCTAGGAAAAGCAAAGGTATGTAAATAAAGAAGCACGTACATTTTCTTCACAGTTTCCTGTCCTATGTTATAATAAAGGCATTGTATTTTTCTCCCTAGATTATATTCCTTTATCTACAAAAAGTCCTTGTTTACAAATTTTTCATGCAAAGGCCACAAAATTCTAAGTACCATTTCAGTATGGAAAAAATCTGCATATGTAAGAGCATACAAAAATGCTATTGGATCTGCTACTGTTCAAAATAGTTTTCCATATTCATTCCAGTTCCATTTTTTATTGACGGAGAAATTAAGAGAACTGCTCAGGTAAAGGGCAGATGTATTGCACAGAGATATGCAGGAAGAGCTTTAATGAATTCACTAAAACTCGTTCCATTTCACCATTTATTATCCCCAAACCATTTCCATATAATTTATTAAAATATCCATATAATCACGTGTGTTTTTATTTTATATATTAGACCACTGAATACATTCTTGAAAAGATTTACATCCCTTGACTTGTGTTACAGACAGGTTATTAAAAGACTGTTAGTCATGCCCTACATATTAATGCCCAGTTTGGTAATCTGGAATTTTGAAGTTACTTCAGATCTCAACAGTTGTTGGGTTATAAATTCATTTATACAGAGGCTGCTCTCCACTACACTTCTTACCAGCCTGGCCACGCAGGAGCAAAAAAAGTCATTTTAGGAAAGCTCAGCACACATACATATCCAAGAGCTTGATGCGTTTTGTCTTTTTTTTCCTAATGAAACCCACAGATTTTCTAACAGATCAATCTCATGGTTTTGGATGTTGGAAGATGCATTTGTTGTTCTTTTTTCATGTATGTATTCTGTGTTTAATGCATTTGACTTTTTTGCTTCATGAAACGCACCTTTTTCTAACAAATTAATCTAACGGCTTTCTGCATTAAAGAGTGTAGTATAATTTCAAGTAGACTAAATGTTATTCCTTGTACAGGCTCAAATTTATCAACAGTGTATTTCCAGATATCACACAGCTCTGGGTAACATACAACGTAGACTTACACACTACACCAAGACTGGTAAACGTTTTGGCTCCACAGAGAAGGCAGGACACTGCATAATGAAGAGCTCACAGATAAGGTGACAATTCTTTTTTCTCTCTCTCCCCTTTTGCCTCTCTCAGGTTTCAAGCAGCTGTCAAATCAACCCAACAGCTGCTGCAGTTCAGAGTAGGTTCCTCTCCTCTCTTCCCTGGTCACACAATTCCATCCCTCCTTACACTCATTCAGTCCCTCAGCAGCCCAGATCAGCTTACTAAAGCAGTTTATTTTTTAAACTTATGTCAATTCTTATCTGCTTGTTCAGCAAAATTAACTAAGTTCCCCAAGACATCCCACAAACATCAGAACTGTAACCCAAAAAGCTGTCAGAACAAAAAAGCCAGGAGAGTAAATTGAGATAGCTTCTGTAAGGACAGTGGAAGCATTAAACTTGCTCCACCACTTAATAAAACTTAATCCTAATCTTTATTAGCTGGAGATACCTTTCATAAATGCTAAAGTTTTCAACTTTAAAAAAATAAATAAATCTGTTGTCGGAACTTGCCTAACTTCAAGTTAAAAATTGGTTCAAACGCTCAGCTTCACTGCTAAGGTCTTGGCAAGCTTAAAAATTACAGGATCTGCTTGTCAAAACTCACTCCCATACTATTCAAGTCAAAATGTTATTTCCCAAGAACAAGTGAAGACAGAAAAACAGTTCTAGCTTTAAGTATACCTTGGTATTTTCAGAACTTGACAGGCTTTTCTGGGCATGTCAGAATGAAAAGTAAATATCACCAGCATCTACTGACTTTTTACTGGTGGAAATTTATAATACCCCATTTTTTTTTACAGTGGCAAAGAACCATTGTCAGTCACGTGACTGAGCTGTGGTGCACGGAGTTAAAACCAGTTGGCAGCCTGTCACAAGTGCTGTTCTCCTGGTCCTGGGCCAGTTCTCTTTAATACCTTTATCAATGATCTGGATGAGGGGATGGAGTGCACACTCAGTAAGTCTGCAGATGATACTAGGCTGGGTGGGAGTGCTGATCTGCTTGAGGGTAGGAAGGCTCTGCACTGGGACCTGGATGGACTGGATTGATGGGCTGAGGCCAATTGTATGAGATTTAATGAGGTGACATGTCAGGTTCTGCACTTGGGCCACAACAACCCCATGCAACGCCACAGGCTTGGGGAAGAGTGGCTGCAGAGCTGCCCAGAGGAAAAGGACCTTGGGGTGTTGATCAACAGCCAGCTGAACATGAGCCAGCAGTGTGCCCAGGTGGCTAAGAAGGCCAAAAGCATCCTGGCCTGCATCAGAAATAGCGGGCCCAGCAGCACTAAGGCAGCGATTGCCCCCTGAACTTGGCACTGGTGAGGCCGCACCCTAAACACTGTGCTCAGTTTTGGACACCTCACTAAACGAAGGACTTTAAGGTGCTGGAATGTGTCCAAAGAAGGGCAACAAAGATGGCAAAGGGACTAGAATATAAGTCTTAAGAGGAGCAGCTGAAGTAACTGGGGTTTTTTAGCCTGGAGAAAAGGAGGCTGAGGGAAGACCTTACCACTCTCTCCAATTACAAGTAAGGAGGTTGTAGTGAAGTGAGGGCTGGTGTCTTCTCTCAAGTTACAAGTGATAGGACAAGAGGAAAGAGCCTCAAGTTGTGCCCGGGGAGGTTTAGATTGGGTATTAGGAAAAAATTCTTTGCTAAAGCATTATCAAGCATTGGAACAGACTGCCGAGGGAAGCAATTGAGTCACCATCCCTGGAGGTATTTAAAAGATGTGTGTCTTAGGGCCATGGTTTAGTAGTGGACCTGGCAGTGTAAGGTTAACAGTTGGACTCAATGATCTTAAGGGTTTTTTTCCCCAACCTAAATGATTCTGTGATTCATCAAGTATATCAGAAGTGTATCTGAAGTGATTGTGAACTGCACAGTTAGGAGTAAAGACCCTAGGCACCTGGTTACGGGCCTGCAGCACTTACATTCTGACTGAAACAGTAAATCTTCCGACTGCTGTCCTCTGGGTCAGGCATCTCTCCGTCCCGATTAGCACTCATAAGAGCCACCAGCTCTTTAGGAACAGATATCTGAAAGAAGGTTATACAACCATGAGGAACTTAGTTGGCATGCAGGATTATAGAATATACTAGAAACAGCGACAGCAAAAAGAGTAGCCCAGATTTGTTCTGTTGTTAAGTCCTCTTCCTGAAGTAGCGTACATAGAGAAAATACTGGCAATATTTAGTTAACCAAAAGGCCTAACTTTGACAGAAGTTAAAAGTTTCACTTTCTTCAGACTACTGAATTGTAACGTCACTTTGGACATCTTGCTTTTTGCTTCCTTAAAACAACTGCACTATTTATGCCAGGACTGCAAAGATCCCTCAACTATATACCAGACCACATTACTTAATACTTAATATGCGCACATCAAAGACATTTCAAGTATTTTTACTTTACAGTACTCTTTATTGTCTTACCATCAGCTTTTCCTGATTTAAGAATGCATTTCTTTCCTATTCTGCACTTTTTTTTTCTTGCTTTCTTTTGAAAATAAAAGATACATGCGAATTAAAAATAGAGATGATATATGTAAAAGAAAATGGTAAAGCTAGAGAAGTGCCACATGGAAGATAAGCAGGTCTTGGCTCTTACATCAAGGTGAAAGCCAATATTCTCTGTTTTTATTTTAGCCACATACTGGCAGGTACAAAAATAAAAATCACCCATTGTAGTAGTTGTCTTTATTTAGACACATATGACTTCAGTTCACCTACCTCTGCATAGTATGTGAGTTTCACAGCGGGTGTGTCTTGGCATGGAAAGATGGCTCTGCAGTGGGTTGCCTGGAGGGAGCGAAAAAAACCACCAAAACTAAAACATTAACAATCTTTCTAATGCAGAAGACTAGAAATAAATTAAACTAATATTGCTAATCTATACAGGTCCTTCACAGAATTCATTATCTACAAACTAGTACTTCCTACTGCTTATGGCAGTTTTCACAGTCAAGTCTTTTCTGAAAGAAATGATGGTAGATAAGACAGATCAATAGCCACATACGCTGACTGCAATGAACTGCACGTTATTCAATAAGAGTACTGGAGAAGGTAAAGCAGTCCCAGAATTATTAAATTGCAAACATACGATAAATCTCAGTGATATTCTGACTTATTAAGTGTTTTATTTTAGGACCTTTGACACACTGATAAATCTCAGTGATATTCTGACTTAAGTGTTTTATTTTAGGACCTTTGACACACACGTTAGAAGTTATGGGCTAATGTACTTTTGCTTGCTTGCCTACCTCTTCAAGTCTTTAGAAACCAGAGGCAATTACTGTGGTACATAAACAAGAAGTTTAAAGAAAATAATTAATCCACTCAACCTGACACTGGCTGAAGAGATATGGGTGTTTCTTCCCAGAAGTCTGCTCTGGAGAAAACCACTGGAGAGCTGAAGACTTTGGAGAGCTTTCAAAAGAGATTTCAACAATTGCTTCTTGTCCCCTGTGCAATAAAGAACACAGTCAGACTGTTTTGACAGACCCCCTGATCACTATTGAAATTCTACAAAGATTTATGGAAAACAAGCCTGCAGCACTGTCTCAAAGCATTAAAAATAGACTACTAGCAATATTAAAAACAACTCTTGCCTTTTAATGATGGTAGTTAAAATTAGCTATTTTATTACAAACTTAATGTGCCAAGACACTTCTATCATCGTTTTAATGAAGCCGAAGCTTTTCCTCTCCTCTCTTCAAGAAGAACACGGCCTTTTTCTTTAAGCTGTTTTGGCGAGTTGCACACATATAGTTTTGTCACACCTATCTAACATTGTACACATTAGGTACAGAAAACCACTGCAATGAGCAAAGAAAAACAACTTATAAAGCCTATACAAGAACATACACGCCTTAATAACACAGCATTTGTGTATGCTGTAAATAAAAAAACAAAACAGATTTTGCAGCTGATGTTATGTTCCTTAAGTATGATCCTTAAGGAGAAAAAACCCACCTGAAAATAGTAATTACTGAAAAGCTCTACTAATAGCAGGGTTAGCAAGAAAAATAAAAAATGTTCAACAAATTTTATTCAGGGTTTCAGATCTGGTGTAAAGTAAAAACTAACTGCTCTGTGCAAGACAGGTATGAGCTTGCTAAGAAGAGAACACACACACACTTGACACATCCATACTCTTTTTTTTTTTTTAGAACATATCAAAACCTCTACTAATACCAAAAGCACACAGAAGTACTTGCTTTTGTTATCCAAAAGTTCCAGGTTATATATGCAACTCTCTGGAATTAACAATCCAACCACGAATCAGAACAAACTTCATCTAATCAGAGGAGCCGGCCACTAGATAAGCTGACCAGGTATACATATCTGGTTTATAACCAGTATTCCAAAGTACACAGTTGACAAGAAAATAATTTGCATTACCATAAGGAACATTGCTTACTGAACAATCAGACTTCCAATTGTAACTCTTACCCTTCCCTATCACTATTTATTGAGATCTACCTGGGGGACTGTAATGCACACAAGATTATACATTCTCACGATCACAATTCATAACTCACTCTTTGTAGCTTTGTTTCTTACATGGAAATCCAGCAATGAAAAAAACACCAAAAGTCAAACAAAAGAAACAGGCTTATGTTTCTGCTGTGGCCTGTTTGTTCAAGTACTTAATTTGTTGTTTCATATCAGATCATAAGTGCTTGCCCAGTATGACATTCCTTTCCCTTCCACCTTATGTCTACTTCTAAATTGCACAACTTCAGAGAAAAAAAAATATAGAAGCCAGAAGAGAGGAGTTTGTGGAAGAACTAACCAGTTTTGCAAAGAAAACAGTAATAAGCAACATAGTATACAGTCTTATTAAAAAATACAGGGGACCTCCTTACACAGTGACAGCTTTCAGCACTGGCACACAGGATACCATGGGCTTACAACATACTAAGCAAACTGTGAAAAAATGTATTGTAATTTGGCAACAAATTTTTAATTCATGCAGCTTCAGAGCAGAATATTAGTTCATTGTCTATCATCCTGCCAAAACTCAAATTCCATGCTTTAGGGACTTGAGTTTAGTGTTGACAACACAATAAAACTTTTATTATTTGAAAACATGTTTCTCTCTAACCCTAGTGGAAATCTGCAATTCTACAGAGACGCAGGATCAGCCCTAGTACAAAAGAAAGGCAAACAGGGTCTGCAACTGCATGTTTGCCATACTCTAGCCATTCTGACAATATTCAGGCAGCTGAAACATGAAGAATATTACTAATAAGAAACACTGAAAAAACTGTGATAAATTACACATAGTTTTGCTGCTTTCTTTGGCAAGTAATTTTGTACACGATGCAAGACCCAGAGAGGGGTACAAAGAGTCCCAAAGATTTGGCTGTCTAATGAAAGCCAAATATTAAATTCGTGTATGAGATCATACACCAAGGAAAAGCAACATCCTGATTTCTGAGTCCCCTTGCAAGCTTTAGGCTACAACCCTCCAGGCAAGACGAGCAGCTTATACAGTGCATTTTGGAAAATGCCTAAAGGAACAGGCAAAAGCATGTACCTTCTTAGTTCAAAAGGAAAGGAGATTTCCAGGGGGGTCCCCTTGAAGCTGTGCTTTTCTCCAAAAGCAAATTTTGCCTCCTGTCCATTTACAGTCACTTTAAATACCTGTAGGTCTTTCGTGTCCAAGACCTGTGATGAAGCAAATGTTAGACACTTGTTAAATAATTAACGTTGCACTCATGAAATCTTAAACACAAGTCTCTCTGAGGAAACAAGCATTTATGCTTACTAAGTACGACCACAACACCTGAGTAACTGTTGAGGGCTGGGAACCAGAATTCTAACAGAGCAGCACTGAACGTAGGAAACTGGAGGGGGGAGACGAAGAAAACCAACTTCAGACCACTGAAGTGCCAACAGTTTGCTCAGCAAACCACAAAGGGACGGGACTTCACAGCACTCGGTGTGAAATAAGGAGAATGACAGAAAAGCCCCTGCCAAGGCTTCCAGCCTGGAACTGGGGCTGCCAATCAAGACTGCCATGCAAGAGACGATTCATTAAATAACGCTGCCGCCTCGTGCGCAGCACGTGTAAAGTCTGGGTCTTGATTACAAGCAGAATAGATTATTTGTTTTTCCTTTTTCCTCAGAAATCAGTGCGGATCACAGGAGGATTTTACGGACCCAGCAGAAAACCCCCACTGAGCCAGAGCCGCCCTGGTCACGCCGAGGAAAGCGGGAGAGGCTCACGCGTTTATCTGCACAGCTCCCTGAGGAAGCGGCGCCAGGAAACGCACACGTGGAGGTGCCACCAACGCGTCTCCCAGCGCTTCACCCCCATCTCTTCCACAGAAGGGGAATTCGCCATCTTACCGGGAAAATGCCCATTTCCACCCAACCGCGGGCTGCGGGGCAGGCC